TTTCTAGAGTTCTGATGATAGTGTTGGGGTTGTAGATAACTTTGTGCTCTAAAGTTCTAAGTTGGCTTGTTCACAAACTTCTTGAAGTTTGGATTGAGCTTGGTCAGAAGTGCCAATCATTCTTCATATTCCTTTTCCTCGTTTATTTGAGGAGATTCCATTGTGGTTCTAAGGAAAGCTTGATGATTAGCCATGTATCCATTTTTGATTTGAAGAGGTTGTTGAGTTGGCATGTAAGGATTCTGGTTGTACTGTTGTGCCATACTCAAACTTTGATAAGGATATGCTCCATATCCTTGGTTGGAAAACTGATCAGCAAAGTGGTTTGGGATTGGATTGTGATGTGCAATCAAGTTTTGAGAATGATTTGCCATGGGTGCTGAATTTCCCAGGGCAAGTCCTTGATTATCAAAGGGATTTACTTGATCTAGCTTGTTGAATTTTGTCTCATGTTGTTGTAGCTTAAGATACAGATCAAACAGAGACATGGTGTCTAGATTGGTTATAGTTTGCAATATGATCATATGCATTGTATCCCATTTTGGAGATAGACTATTCAAGAATTTTAGATTGAAATCCTCTTGTGATCTTTCTCGTTTGAGTTTCTTCACCCTGTTAACAACAATATTGTACCTAGAATATGCATCAAAGAGGGTTTCTTGAGGTAACATCTTGAAGTTGTCCATGCATATCAATGTAACTTTCTTCTTGTTTGTAAGAATTTTATCAGTTCCCTCAAATTGTTTCTTGAGTACATTCCATATGTTGAAGGGTGAACTCTTGTCTTCTTCAGGAAGTTGTTCATAGATGTCATGAGGAATTCCAGATAAGAGTTCTTGCATTGCCTTAGCCTCAAACTTCTTGATTTTACTGTCACGAAGTTTAGTAGCAGAGGAAACAGATCCACATATAACTTTGGAGGTTTCATGAGAGACATCGGCTTCAGGAACTCTGATGTCCTTCAAAAATTCTAGAGTATGTTTCCTAGTGGAGATGAAGGTCCATATGTCAGATTCATGACCTTCGAGGTACTACTTGATGCGATCTGCCCATGAAGTGTATTCACTAGGCATAAGGATAGGTGCACGATTTCCTGCTCCAAGACTGTTTGCAACTGAAACTGAATAGAGAACATTTTGGTTTTGATTGACACTTTCCGTTGAGAACATGTGATACTAGTTTGAAAATTGACAAAAAAAAATGTTTTTGTGAAAAGTTTTCTAAGTCAAAGTCGATCACTTGAGCTATAATACCAACTGAAGAAATGAGAAAATTTCAGTAAACCTAGACTAGAATAGTCCACGTGTTGAAAATACTGAAACAAAGTTTCAGAATCATTAAGTGGCAAGTAGCTAGTGTGGAAAATAAAAAGATGTGAATAAATTGATAGAAAAAAAAATTTAGACTTAAGATCAATGATTCAAATGTTTCTCATATTCATGAAGATTTGGTTACAAGTGTTTGAATGTAAAACACACTAAAAACTCTCAAGTGGCTCTCTGAAGACTAGTCTAAGCAACAATTGTGCAGAATGAGCAGGAATGATCTGAAAAGAGCAACTTTATATTAGATCCCAACGGGACTATTTATATGCTTTGGAAAAGTCCATGACATGGCTTGACCAATCAGGTGTTGACACATCATCATGACATAGTCATTAGTTGACACCTTTGTGCTACTTAACGGAGAACGGATGGAATATTCCAATTCCGTTAGCATTCCGTTAGGGGTCCATCCAAGTCATAAGTCTTCATAATTCTTGAGCCTTCTTGATTAACATTGAAAAATTAATGAGCAAATGAGCATCATGTTACTCAATTGACTTCTTAGATGTCATCAACTTCCATAAGTGTTGTTGATCATGTTGAGTTGTTTCTTGAGTGTTGGACTGTGTCTTGAACTTGAAGATGTATGACTATTTGTTCATGATGGACCATGAATGAATTACATGTGCCATTGAGTACTTGTATGTGCCTTCATTGTACATGATGTGCCATGTGCAGTCTTGTTGAGCCATCAATGTGATCATATTGATCCATTGACTTGAGTTGAGCCAGCAAGTATTCCTGTAGAGCCATAAACTCTTGTTGAGCCATAGAGTTGTGGATGGGACAACAATGTTTCTGATGAGTTATCAATATTCCAAATGATCCACCAATATCTTGATGCTCCATATATGATCTAGATGTGTCATTTGAGATCATGATGATCCAACTTGCTTTCTTCAAGTGATCCATGTCAACAGTAGGTGCTCCATGAAAGCTTCAAGTACTTCAACATCTGATTCTTCAAACACTTTTTGAATCTTCAGGATCTTTTCAACCTGAAACATTCTCATAATGTTTATTAGAAAATGTAAATCAATACTCAACTTATTTCAAGTGACAATCACATAAAAATATTTCCAACATTAGTTACGACGTTAGGCTTAATGGATGAGGTTTTGGTTGTTGACTTTGACCTTGATCATTGACTTGTTGACCTGGGTTGAATTTTGGTCAAGATGGTTCGATTTAGTGTATAGACTAAGGTTGAACCTTGTATGTTTTGATAGGGGTATTGTAACATCTGTTACAAGGCTTTGAGCATTGGTTTAGCTGATTTCGTAAGTTAGGTGAGTTTTCTCACTATACTATTTGCTAGCTGTCTTTCTGACTCTTGTATGGTGTTAGGATGGGCCCATTGGTATATATGTAGGGTTAGGCCCATTTGCATGAATGAGTTTGCCCCATGTATATATTGGGTTGGGCCTATTATTATGGGTTAGGCCTAATATGCAGGTTGGGCCTAATGATATATGTATGGTATGTAGTATTTTGGGGAATTCACTAAATTTTATGCTTACAGTTTGTGGCTTAAACATTTTTCAAGTACTTCCAGTTCCAAAGAGAAAGGGGCTGGCTTGACTACACTGCATCCCCTAATGGCTTTTCCGTATTGATTACTTTTGATATACTATGATGTTTGAAACTACAATTTATATTTATTGGATTTGAAACCAATGTTTGTGTGACTCTATGTTTTAAAACGAAAAATTTTATTGCTATTTTTTATACGTTACACATAAATTGATGGTTAAAATGAACTTTTGAAAAAATATAATGTTTTTTCGTAATTAACCCAACACATTATAAGTAACAGTGGTCGCACTAAAATTTTTTATTAAAAATTGATGGTTTTTCAAAACTTACTAAAAAATTAATAGTTAAACCGAATATTTAAAAAATATACATCATTTTCAATTTTTCATAACTAACCCTTAAAAAACAATAAAAGATTATGTAACTCGAATATTATATAGTATTTGATTTTTTTATATAAATTTGAAAGTTTTTTATAACCATTCTTAATTTATATAACTTTTCATAAAATATATTAAATTTTATTTTGTTTTTAAATCAATTAATTAAATATAAATATTAATATTAATAAAATATAATATCTAAATATAAAAAAGCGTTTTTGACATAAAAGTCCCTATGTGTTCAAAATTTGTTCGGTTTAGTCCCCACGACAATTTTTGGTGCGTTAATGCCCAACATTTGGCCTCTTTTTGTCAAAAACGCCATCTACCAGGTTTGGAGTCGGTCATCCGGTGACATCCAACCTGTTACATAAATACCTTTATAAAAAAGGGAATCCCAACGACTTTCATCCCACCTCCCTCATTTACGTAGCCGTTCTCCTTCATTTATGTAGCTCTAATCAGAGCATCTTCACGCACTAATAGTTGCATCATCTTTAAACTCAACAACTTCATGCGAAACGAAAGTTGTTAAATGCTATTGTGGTGATGTGTGCTACATAGCAGTGTCAAGAACACCAGATAACCCTAGTAGAAAATTTTGGGGATTCCCTAGTTTCAAGATATTTTGTAATTTTTATGTTAAATTGAAATGATTACTATTAGCATGGTTTTAGGGTTTAGTTACACATATTTCTCCCTTTTAATTTATATGAGTCTTCAAGGTGTCGTTTTTTCAAGTGGTTGGATGAATGTGAGAACAAATCTATCCAACAAGATGATGAACTGATGGGTGTGATGAAGATTGTTGCAGGGTTGTTAATGTTTATTGCAATAATGCTTGTAATTGTTGTCCTAAAAATGTAATTTAGGTATTGTACTTTTGCAATGTGGTTGGTATTGTAATACAGTTTTGTTTTGAACTGGAATCATTGTAATTTAGGCAATGATAATGTAGTGGTAAACCTTTTTGTAGTCTTTCAAATTTGGTATGTGTAAAGTTGTAAATGGTAACCCAATTTAGACAGCGAAATAATATGCATTGAGTAATATGAATAGAGGGCAATTTAGGCATTGAATAATGTCACCACATAGGGCAATTTAGATGATATAATTCATACAAAATTAAAAAAAAAATTAATCCATACCAAAGTATGATGCTATAAAGCATAAAAAACCAAATGTCAGATGTTATAATCCATACCTAAGATGCAATTAACCAAACCTATTGTAAGATGCTATAATCGAATAATAGTACCATAAACCATATTTCATAGAAAAATGGTATGCATTGCATAATGTTTCATATAACGTTTCATGTAGCAATCATCCAATTATGCCAAAAATCCTATCAAACAAGCATATTAAGGCAACATATAAGGCAACACATATGAAAATTGGATGTTTGTTGCAAAAACTAGGAATAACAAAAGATATACAAAAAGAAGGCACCATATGCCAGTGATTAATATCCCACTTCATACCTTTTCATAATCACTACCCAACTAATCCAACTTGACAGGTTTGGTAGCACTGGAAACACTACCATCTTTGTCATACACAATCTTCTTCAACTTTAGCTTCAATATCCTCTCAGAAGGTTTCATTTTCCCATGCATAGGTTTGGTAGACAAGTTTGGCAAGTTATTGACTCTATCATCCACTCCCTCAACAACAGCTTCAATCCTACTTCCACTTGTACCTCATCCATTACATGATTATCAGCTACAATCACTTCTTCATCATCACCATCACTTCATGCTTCCTCCCTTGCATCAAATCCTCCATCATCAGCTTCATCATCAGTAAACACCTTAACATCATCTGGATGCCCTTCTTGATCTTGTAATTCCTGTTAAGGCAATATACGACATGTAATAATAATATGGGACAAATAGAATAAAACTAAATTTAAGTAAAATAAATAGGAGATTAATTACCAGTTCAACATGTAACATGTCATCTAATGACATTACTATCCCTTTACTCCCTTCAATTTCACCAATGTTGTATCCTGAATCTAGTAGCATGGCTACATCGTCTTCATTCAGTTGGATTTCTCAGGTATAACATCATCTGCATTACCTTCAAGAAACTCAGGTTCCTCCTCTTGAATTTCTCTAGGAATTTCATTTATACCATCCTCAACATCATCAATAATTTCACTCAGCTTTCGTGACTTAGATTGTGCCTCACAAACTTCATCTATAACTTGAATGACCATACCCTCATCAACCTCTTGTTTTCCATTTTCCTAGTTTTGCCCTTCATCCTGGTTTTTCCCTTCACCAACAAGTTTTTGTCCCTCGATATGAACTTGTCCCTCATCTACAGGTTTTTCCCCCTTACCTACAGCTCCACCTCCACCCCTTCTACTATTTATTTTTCTCTCCTTTGAGTTATTGGCTAATTTGGCTCATTACTTGTTTCTATACTCCTCCTTCTAGTCTTTCTCCTAGAACCATATGCTTGATTGGGATCTACATTTTGATTGATTGGAGTTTCAGTTGTTACACTTTCATGTTCCTCTTGATTTTTTCTTGGCCTACCATTTTTTTTGGGTGCACGTGGAACTCTTGGCCTTGTTTCAATTGTGTAGCTTTGTTTGTTATGTCCAAATTCAGAGCAATTACCACACCTCACAGTTTTGGATACTTTAACTATTGCAGTAGCAAACTAGGTCTCTTTTTCACTTGAATGGCTTCTCCTTTTGGTGGCAGGTCTTCCTGGCATTCTTCTAGCTATTGGTGGCGAAAGCTTTTGGAAGGGAGTTTGTTCCCATAAATTGCTCCCATTGATAGGCATTACGTTACTTTGGTAACATTCAATAAACTTGTATTTTGAGAAGCATTCATTAACATATCCATCAAACTGTCTTATGGGTATAGCTAATGGCAACATTTTCATGAACACAAGGGATTCCATAAACATCCCAAAACCTTCATGTGCAAGTCCCGGCCTCCAAGTCTACATTGAAACTTTCATAATTGAACCTAGCTTCAAATACTGAACCTTGGCTACGAATAACCATCCAAAACCTGAAATTGTCACATAAATTTAAAAACATTAACATAAGAGCATTGATTTATAAAATACAAATGCAATTGGATAAATAATACATACCTCATATACTTCCCAAAAAAGTTCATTTGTTTCAACATATTTGGGCACACATTGGACTTCCATTTGTTACACTTATCATTCATGTGAGCAAACCTATCCATTATGTAGATTCTTATCTCCTCAAGCATTGTTATCAAAGGCTTTTTCCTAGCTTCTATTATGATGGAGTTAAAGCATTCTGACATTCCATTCTCAACTGCTTCACATGCAAACCCTAGAGTATAGTAAGCTCTGCACCAAGTTCTAGGCTTTTTGGACATCAAATACTCATATGAACCAGGACTAAGCTTCTTTATTTCATCCATATGTTTCTTGAAGTCTCCTTCTACATAACTCATTGTTGAAGCCCATAAAATTATTTTGAATTATAATTTGGTGTAAGCCTTCTTAAAGTTTGCATAAATGTTTCTAGCACATTGTCTATGCTCCACATGTGGCAAAATGTCTTTCACAGCTTCTAATAAGCCCTGAAACATATAAGTACATTGAATATTAATACAAAAAATTTCAATTATATAGTATATTAATACAAAACATAGCAACTAAAAGTACCTTATGTTGATCTGATATGATAACCAACCATCTACTACCATCCAACATTATATCATCATGTATGGGCTCTAAAAACCAAGTCCAATTAGGTTTATTCTCCACATCTACAACATCCGAAGCTATTGGATATACTTGGTTGTTTACATCCCTTCCAATTGTTGTCAACAGTTCACCTTTCACCTCGCCTTTCAAGAAGCATCCATCTAAACCAATCACTTTTCTTCAACCACTTTTCCATCCACTACTTAAAGCTTTAAAACATATATAAAATCTGTGGAAATAGCGCTTTCCATCAGGGTTGTCGATGATGCTAACCTTGCAAGTAGACTCATGGTTTGATCTTAAAAGCTCATAGGAGTAGTCCCATATTCTTGCATAATACTCAGTTAACTTTCCTTCAATTAACTCTTTTGCCCATTCTTTTTGCCCTCTTACATTGGCCAATAGACACATCACATCTAAATGTCTGTTTAATATCACTTATCATCTCCCTAAGCTTAAGATTTGGCTTGTTTGCAATCTCAGTCATGTAATGTCTCCCAATCCATTTAGGAGACATAATTGAACCAAACATGAATGACCCAGAGCATTTATGGATCCTAGTCATAGTTTTGGTTTGTAATGACCTTTCCTTGTACATCCAAGCAGCATGCAATCTAAAAGGGCATTGGTTGTCTTCATTTCTTTTCCCACATTTTACAACAATTCTACCACTATCACACTTGGCAAAATATATTTGATACCCATGGGACACAACATAGTTTGCAACACAAAATTTAAGTTGCTCAGCGGATTCAAGTATATCACCAAGTTTTGGTTCCATCTTGTCCCATTTGATGTTGGGATCATGAACCCTATACTTAGGTTGTACGTCTTCCTCATCATCTTTATCACTTTCCCAGTCATTTTCATGATATACTCGTGCACTCATTTCATCAGACATACTTGCATTACGAAGATTAACATCATTAAGTAATACATTCAAGAAATTATCCTTACACTTATCTAATGTGCTCATGAACTCATCCTCTGGTTCATGGTCCATGTAAATACCATGTAGTTCAAAGTCCATCTCGTTCAACCCAACAAAAGGTTCGTTCAAAACAGCAAATGGATCATTCCATTCTTCCTCTGATGAAGCCATTCTTCACTCCTACATAAAATCAAGGTTACATAACGTCATTTTAACTAAGAGATCAAAGGAAAAAATGAAAATTTATTCCAAAACTGTAAATACCTAACCTGTGATGATCGTCTTCTTTACTTGACATACACTAGCAACACTGATTATCGTTTTCTTCTTTACTCGAGCTTCTAATAACAATCAAACCCTAAAAAGCTTTGAAAATGCAAATAAATATGGGCGACAATGATGATTTTTGTGGAGAAATAGAGAAGACGTACATTTTTTTTGGGAAAGAGTTTGTGTTCTCGATGCCTAACGGACAAGATAATGGGAGTAAATGAGAGGTGTGTCACCGGATATTAACGGATGACCTACTAAATGGCGGTTTTGACAAAAAGAGCCAAAATGTTGGGCATTAACGCACCAAAATTCGTCGTGGGGACTAAACCGAACAAATTTTGAAAACTTAGGGATTTTTATGTCAAAAGCCCTATAAAGAATATAAAATAAGATATTAATAAATGTGAACATCAAATAAGAAAAAGTATTAAAAAAACATTAAAAAGTCATTAAATAAACTTTTTTTTTTTATCAAATGATAATGCAATTTCTTTATTTTTTTCAAATAATAAAAATCTCCAGAAAAAAAATTACCATCCAAACTGCTATTTTGTAACGGTTCCTTTATTTTGTAAAAGTTTTCCCTAAAGTTTTTGGAATAACAGTATATCATTTGACAAAAATTATACTCCTATTAAAAGTCACCTAACCCAATTAAATGATATTTAATTTTCACAAATAAATCACCAAATATGTAATTTTTTACCAAATATGATTCAAAAATTAATAATAATCTTGGAATTCACATCGTTACTTGATTCTTTTTCCTTTTAATATTGGTTTGCCAACAATGTTTGATTTATTCAAGGTATATTTTGGAGATAATAAACATAATTTAAATTATAAAAATATGATTTAATGTCTCGTGAACAAAGAGATTGTTGCACTATAAAAAGGCAAACCCGTCTCCTTCGTTTCTCGTCTCTTCCATTACTCTCTCCTCCATACACACAGTGGAAAGATTTTAGTGAGAGAGTAATTAATTCTTTCAAACATGGCCCTCCTCAACGATTTAATCAATCTCAACCTCACAGAATCCACCACGAAAATTATCGCCGAATACATCTGGTTAGTTTCTTTAATCCGACTCGTGATCGATTTCTTGACTTTTTGAGTTTTTTCTTACGTTTCGAATCAGAAGACCTGAATCCCCTGTTTTACGCCATGAACGTCGCCTTTAATGTTTGGATTCTATGTGGGTTTTTCGTTATCTGTTTGATTATCGATGCTCATAGCAACTAGATCTTCATCTATATTTTTGCGATTTAATCAGCACCACTCCATGTGTTAAACTTTTAATCAAAATGAAGAAGTCAACTCTTGGAAATATGATATACACTTACCTTCACCATAAACACACGCAAGACGGATGATTCTGATCTGGGGTTTTGGGGTTTTTGATTTTTCATCCTTTGATCTTATAAACTATCTTCAAATTGAAAGGTTGACTTTTTAGTCAACCATCAAAAAGCACACAGATTAGGGATTTCCACAATTCTTACTATGATAATCTTGTAGTTTTGATTGATTTTGTATTCAACATCATAAGAAAAACATTATTATATCCAAACACCACCTAAATTTCTTGAAATTTCTTATAGGATCGGTGGATCGGGGATGGATCTTCGAAGCAAAGCCAGAGTAAGTAGTTTCAAACGTCAATTTCTTTGTGTTTTCTTTATTGAATCGATCTTTTCTTAATCGTCATTCAATTGATTTTCCTTTGTTCTTCTTCTTTTAGACACTTCCTGAACCTGTAACTGATCCCAAAAAGCTGCCAAAATGGAATTACGATGGATCGAGCACTGGTCAAGCTCCTGGTGAGGACAGCGAGGTCATAGTCTGGTGTGTATTTGTCTTCTTTCTTTTATATAGTATGAATTATCTTCAATTTTATTCTATTTTTGAAAATTTAAATCATGAGAATCTTGTTCTCCTTGAATGAAACAGGCCTCAAGCTATTTTCAAGGATCCATTCAGGGGTGGAAATAACATTTTGGTATGTTTTCAATCATTTCTTTTGTTAGGTAGTGGGGTGTTTGGTAAAATTGATCATAAGTTTTAAATTAAAAAAGATAATATATTTTTTTTAATTTCTATCTTTATTCTTAAAGTCTTTAAACACATGGTATCCACAGGCTTTATAAACTCAAACTTTATGTTTATTAATTAATTAACACTTTAACATTATTTTCAAGATTTTGTTCTTATGCACGTTTAAATTTTACATAAAGATGACGACCCATGATGGGGTTTCACTGTTTTCATATGAAACAGGTGATATGCGATGCATACACTCCCGCCGGCGAGCCAATTCCGACCAACAAGCGGTATGCGGCGGCGAAAATCTTCAGCGACCCCAAAGTCGAGAAGGAAATCCCATGGTATTTTCCCGATTTCACTTCACAAAACGACATCTCCACTCCAATTTCGATGCTTATAGTTTCCAATTTCATGTAATAGGTATGGAATCGAGCAAGAATACACTTTGTTGCAGAAAGATATCAACTGGCCTTTGGGTTGGCCCCAAGGCGGATTCCCCGGACCTCAGGTAACCTCCGGCGACCTCAAATCTACTTTTTTCTCATAATTTTTGTATAAATTTTAACGAAAAATTCTCCTTTTGATGAAATTAGGGCCCATACTACTGTGGTATTGGTGCCGATAAGGCTTTTGGACGTGATATCGTCGATGCACACTACAAGGCTTGCCTTTACGCCGGAATCAACATCAGTGGGATTAACGGCGAGGTGATGCCCGGCCAGTGGGAGTTCCAGGTCGGACCATCTGTCGGAATCTCTGCCGGCGATGAGATCTGGGCTGCTCGTTATATTCTTGAGGTACAAAAGTTTGGTGATATTATATATAGATCGATTTATGTTTCTATGTATCTGTTCGTGATGCGAAAAATTCTGTTTTTTTTTCTTCTGAACAGAGGATCACCGAGATTGCTGGAGTCGTGGTTTCGTTTGACCCCAAACCCATTAAAGGTGACTGGAATGGTGCCGGAGCTCACACCAACTACAGGTATTTTCCGGCGAACTTACATAAAAAAATGTTGAAACTTAAAAATTACTTTTTTTTTTCATAATCTTGATCACACCCATTTGCAATTTTCAGCACAAAATCAATGAGAGAAGAGGGGGGGATATGAAGTCATCAAGAAAGCTATAGAGAAATTGGGTTTGAGGCACAGAGAACACATTGCTGCCTACGGTGAAGGGAATGAACGTCGGCTCACCGGTCGCCACGAGACAGCCGATATTAACACATTTAAATGGGTACGTCACAAACAAATACCGTTTCATATTTCGTAACAGATAAACAGATGACACTGTGTCTAGCTGATGTGAGACGTTGATATCAACAACAAATATGTAGATGAGATTGTGTATAGCTAGTTGATGTCACTGTGTCTAGCTAATGTGAGACATTGACAATAAATATACAGATGAGATTGTGTCTAACTGATGTGGGACACTGACAGTATTACTAACATGTTAAAATCTTGTGACAGGGGGTGGCGAACCGTGGTGCTTCGATTCGTGTTGGGAGGGACACTGAGAAGGAAGGGAAGGGGTATTTTGAGGACCGTAGGCCAGCCTCTAACATGGACCCGTATGTGGTTACTGCGATGATTGCCGAAACTACCCTTTTGTTGTGAACGTGAAACGTGAAGTATTTTGGGGAGATTTCTGTTAGAGTTGGGAAAAGATCCTTCTGTTTATTATTGTTAAAAGTAGTGTGTGCCTTTGTTTATTCTGTTTTAGTTGCTTCTGGCTTTCAATTTTTAACAGCAAATGCAGTTTGTTTGGTGATTTCTCCCTAGTGTTTGTTGGAAATAACGTTTAATAACAATGTGAAGGGTTTTGGTTTTCAGTTCTATTATCATTTTGTTTGTTTTTGTGATTTTTGGGTTCATCGATTCGTATTGTGTTGTTGTTTCTTTTGATGTATTCCTTTTGATGACGCACAATAAAGATTCATTTTTATCATCATTTTGTTTGTTTTTGCGATTTACGTTTTTGCACATTTTTCACATGATTGGGTGAACTAAGAGATTAATGTTTGTACTTTTTGAAACTTTCATTGTTTCTGTTTATGCTAGTTTGTTGCTAGCTTGATTTTATATAAAATCATTCCAGCCATTAAAAAAAACTATTTATACTTTAGACAAGTGTGCGGTTGGTGGATTGGATAATACTAACATTATAATATATATGGGTTGTTTAGGGTTGGGGTTGGCTTAAAACTTTTTTTTTGTACATTTTAAAATGTTTATATACGGTTATGAAACTATCTTTGACAGCACAATAGGGCATTGATGAACCAAAATACGAACAAAAACAAGCATATGGTGACAAAAGATCGAAACCAACGTTCACATTGTTATTAGAACAATATAATTTTATCAACTATTATTCCCTACAATCACAAAGATATCACCAACCAACTGTATTTTGAGGCTAAAAACTTGTTAACCGGAATCAAAATCTCCATTAATAAGGGTTGTACTTTGTAACTTGACACGAGGTTCATATTGTGTTTCTCGCAAAGAGAATAAATTTTTTGTTGTTAAGTGAATGTCTTTTTTTGTGAATGAATGAATTATATTAAAAAGCTAGACAAATTAGATCACAGAAATAGTATAAGTTAGGTTTCTCCCTCTATTTAACAACCGAATAAATGATTGATAAACAACTCTATCCAACAAAGCATCTTTATTAGTGTTATGCAAGCGGCCTGGAAAAAATAATAAAACAACACAGATAATTAACATGGTTCGATCGATGTGACCTACATCCTTGGATAGAAACGGAGAACTCTTCTACGATTCGATTGTTTTGAAAGTGATTACAATAATACTTATAACCATAAAATCTAACTATTGGGCAACATTGACGGCAGACCCAATTGGTTGTAACAACAGTGCTACCCATCAAAATTTTCAAAAACGTAATGTATATTTTTTGAGAAATTTTCCAACATAATGGTGTAGCCAAAATGATGAATCATACCATTATGGAGAATCATACTGATTTTTTTTGAGAAATTTTCCAACATAGTGTAAAGAAAGGCATCAATCAACATCGCACGGTAGTCAATATGCCTCAACAAAAGGTGTAGCCGAAATGATGAATCACCTTGCTTGAGACCATGTTTAATTGCAAAATTCAGAAGTAGGAGAGTTATTAACAAAGACAAAAGCCATGGAAATAAGACAAGAAGGAATCCATCCTCTCCACTTATCACCATATCCCTATGTCTCTTACTATCATCAAGATAAGACCAATTTAGAGAGTCAAAAGCTTTCTCATACTAGCATCCAACCAGGTCTGTGTGAGCAACATCTATCCATCGAACAAGTTCTTTATAAGTTATGAGCATCATATTCACTACAATAATCCACCATCCTTCCATCCACTTATTCATACCCGACACATTACAATTCATCCTCTCATTTGGATCTCTATTCTCAATAGAACTTATAATTTCAACCATTTTTAGTAAATTCTTAATCATAACTATCATCAACGGTATCTAGACCCTATCCTCAATAATGTCTTCCTCTTCGTCGCTCGAGTGGTCACTATCATGAAACTTCATTCTGGTTAAACTTCTTACCTGAACTTCATGGCAACTTGAATAACCTCATTTTTTTTGGGATCAATACTACCAATTCCGAGTGAAAAATCAAATAAAGACAATTCAAAATGCAGTTAAATGCATTGCCACTATGAGTAAAAATCAACCTATATATACCCATTTTGTTTAAAAAATATCATGTTATCTCTACTTTACTCTAAATTTTATACCAACTAAGCAACAAATGTGCCTAAAAGACTCTTTTAAACACCTCAATCAATATACCCAACAATACCAAATCTCAAAAGTCAAAAACTAGACCCTTAGTTTTATACTTTGTGATGTTAAGGCTGTGTAAATTGTAGTTTTCAGTGGTCTGATACACATAGGGCATTGCAAAAATGGCTGAATATATAGACATACAACACAAGAAGAAGCTAGTGGTTTTCGACTTGTAAATGTTTGGAAACCAATTAAAAGGTCACAAATTAAATCAAACGAGATAGAGAAATCGGAGGCTTGCTGACTGTGCTCACAAAGAGCCTATTGAGAATGAAAGCCTTGAAGTTGCTTCACTGCTTCCTGCCATCTTAACTAGGAACCCATAAGCTAATGAAATCCAAAAAAAAAAAAAAAAAATCAAAAGTATATGCATAATGTATAAGTGTTTTCGTTCTATGAAAACAAAATCAATCAATCGATAAAATATTAAAATTTAATCTATGGACATGAATATTACCTTGACGAGGAGCAAAGCTTGAGATAGATATCATTGGATCGAGGGACACTTCTCTTGGCCCACCTGCAACGAGATCGATAATCTCAGGCCCAATCCAATTGTATTTTGGTCTAGGGGTGAAAACAAGAAAATAACCCTTATAATAGACAATATTTTTCTTAGATAATGATTATGAAGATTAAAATAACTATAAAAACATTACATAACAGTTATGATAAAACAATAACTAGGAAAGCAACAAATAGCTGAAGTGTGATTTGTGAAGCTCATGCAACGACTAGCAAGCAATCTGAATTTATAGAGTAATTATGAAAAAAAAAAAAAAAAAAAAAAAAAAAAACAAACAAATAAAAACAAAGAAGGACTGGAGAAAAGAATAGGCATAGACTAAAATGAAAAATATTCTTGTGATCCTTCCATTCATGACTCATGAGTACATAAGTGTTGTCGTCATGGTGGAATCCCTTAGCATGCTTGATCTACTGTGAAATCAAATTATATGATAACTTTTTCTACATTCTATTCAACTCTAATTAGTTGCTCAACTAAAGATGCCATTACTCACTTTGTCATTACTAAGAAACCCACTTTTTTCCTTGGCTTAGTTTAAAAGTTTTGCAAAGAAAAGCCATGTACTTACTACGAATTCGAAAATTACTAATATGTGGCAATCACCCTTTAAACCATTTCAATCCAAGAAGAAAAAAAGTTATCTTGATTATTTAGAGTGTCATTAGATTTAGGTGTTGTTTGTTTTTTTTTTAAACAAATATTCATGAAGTCTGCGAACCACTTCTGCAAGCTTCTGCAGCAGAAGTGACGGATCAAACGACTGCAGACTATAATAAAAATGAAATTTGTTTTTTAACATCTGCATGCTGCTACAGATATTAAAAAATTAAAATAAATTGATTTTATATACTGAGAATAGTTTTTTAATACGTAAAATTTAATAATGTATGACATTTCAACAATATTTTATGATATTTCTGCAAAAAAAAATAACGATATTATAGCAAAATATAATGATATTTCAGCAAGAAATTATCATTATTCAATATTAAAAATATCGAAAAAAATAATTCAGTAAGAATAAAAAAAACACGAGAAAAGAAGATGAAACAAAAATTCAGTAAGATTTCAACAATATATAATTAATATTCATCAAGATTTCAGTAAAAAAAGATGTTGGAAGATGCAATACAAGTGTTGTCCCAAACAAAACACATGTAAATGTTTTTTACTCCGAAGATTTCTAAAAACAAACAGCTTGATAATGAAAAGTGTTGCGTGTGTGCTGTATCGCACAACAATAAGAGGTCTGAAAAGTTTTTTTATATAAAAAAGAAAAACAAAAAAACAAAACAAAACAAAACAAAACAAACAAAACCTTACTATTAAGACATTAACTTATTTGTGATTTCAATCATATATCTTGATCATATAATGAGTAGGAAATACATATCTTTTTGTCATACACAAACAATTTATGTTTTAAAGTTTAGAGGATTATATAATTCATTAATTTGTATATTATATAAATCTCTATAACATAAATTATTGTGTATGACAAAAATTATTGTATATGTATCACTTTCCGTACAAATATATATTTTTTAAACATTTTAATTTTTAAGCGTTATTTCAAACATTTGAAATTGCTTTGTTTTATATTGTATTGTTTGTGGTGGTCCATTGTTTGTTTTTTGATACTTAACATTTAGCATGAATGAATCAAATGAATAACTAATTTATAACAAAAGTTATTTTTCTTGTCCTTGTAGGTTGATCCACAATAACATGTATACATGTTATAGCCATTAAATTGAGCAACCGAAATTACAGATGCTTTAATATCCATTGTAATTGTACGTAGATCAAATAAATATCATATAGATATATCAAAATCCAACTTTTTATCAAATGTATCATCACTTATCAATTATCACAAAATATTATAATTTCTTTAACATACATTCTTGTATATCAGATATATGTTGTAGATATATCAAATCCAAATCATTATCAGAATTGGTCACCACTAATCATTTATATCACAATATATCATTTATATCATAATATATCATGGACATAATAGACTGCAACATAAACTTTTTACTTTACAAGTGATTGTGACCTTGAAAAGTGGGGTCCAAGTTCCTAATTAATAAACAAAAAATCAGCATTCAAAATGTTACATCCATGACTTGTATCTTGTATGAGTTGAACCCTTATATTACCCCATCTTATCAATCAACACTTATCAAAAGACCCAACACAAAATTGGCCTTCAAAGTGGCATCTTTCAACCCTTAAAAGCTTCGGGCTACACACATATCCAAATCCAAACCATCTTCTCAATTCCTACGCTTCAATCAAATCATGTCCATAAAAGAACACACCGAGGAAAATTCCAACGAATTAGTTCTCGTAAAAGTAGCAGCATGGAATTTATCCGAGCAAACAACAGTATCCAAGATCAATTATACAGGATCATGTGATCTTGTTGTTGGGTCTTCTAGATACAAGCAAGAAGCAATGAATGAAGCGCATGAAGATCATACAAGGGTCTCAACACGACATCTTAACAACCCTCTATTTTCTACTATTTCTACTGATAGTTCTCTTCTTGATAAGTATGAAATAGAACGGATATCAAAGGATATTGAACGCTACCTACAGTTCAGTTGTGACAAGTATTATTGTGGTAAATCCGTTGATGGTGTTCATGTTGCTGGAAGTCGGAGAATTGTGCCATTGATGGAGAAGGATTCTAGGGGAACAAAAGCTAAGAGAATAAACACACAAAGGAAATGGTGTCGACCAATGTATGAATTATGTGGATCAGTTAAAGGTGATGTGGTGGAGAATGTATGTTTAGCGACTGAACGAAGGAGGAAGGCTAATAAAAAGCATATTCCGATGGCCGGAGATTGGAATTTTCATCGAAATGACACTTAGACGTTTTAATATTTTATCTTTAATTTCAAAAGTCAAAGTAATAATACATACATGTATTAGTTATAAGAAGCCACTTGTATTCATGTATGTAAGTGCTCGAATATTGTTCTTCATTATTGCTTAGTATACATTTAGGAATTGGTCGATTGTATAATTCAAATGCTTGAATATGACTTTTCGGTTACATGTTAACATCACCAATAAGAGAGACTATTATAATATTATTTGTCACTAAGCTGATCAAGTATTCTGTTGTTTTCTTTGGCATCAAATTGATAATAAAATTATTACTT